TTATTGCTAAATTTCTAAAATTCTAAACGGATACGGCAATAGTACTGTTTTTCCAACAATCGCATCGAAACCCGGACTTCCTTTGGAAAATCGTCTTATTTCGTAATTTCGCTAGCAGCTAAAGCCTCATAATTTCTCCAATCGAMAGCTACGRTTTTGAAAATATAAAAAGTCAACAAAAATTACGCACATTAAAATATTAAATAACAAATTAAATTTATGTGGCGTCTCTTGATTGAAATTTGAATCTCTTTGCAATTCCGAGTTGTAAAATTTTAAAACATGTAATTGAGCCAATATGGTACTCTGCGCAAATTTATTAACTGTTAGAGTTGTTGGTTTTCCGAAGCCATGCTTTTCTAGATATATTTTATACAATTTTTTACCATACATATTTTCCAATTAAAGGGAATATTACTATACTTTTTTGCACTTATTTGGGGCTTTTTTAAATTTTGTTTTAATAAGACCGACAATTTAATGAAAACAGTGCACCCAAATTCTCCGTTTAGAAAAATATGCATAGACATCAACGCATCGAATTTAATAATTTTCAGCGAAAGACACTAGAAGGTCACAATACCATTTGGATCACTATAGACATATCTACAGACGCTTGTAGCAGTTTGTTATCTATTATTCGCGTGCTTTATAATAACGTTCCGACCGAAAGTTGTGTCATAAAAATGCTAATAATTTATAACTAGGTGACTAAACTGACCAATGATCTTGCTTTTATTACAAGGTTTATTTTCCTCACCGCGTGTAATTGTTATTATATTCTTTTCCTCCCTGGGTTTCAGTCAAAGTGTGAAATAAAAATTTTCATATCGTAAAAAAAGACCTTAAAGAATTTAACGTTTCCCAATTATGAGTTTGTTTGAATTTCAAATCTGACGATAGCGCTGTTGTCTCGCTTGAAAAGTTGAAAGATATTTCTTCGGTTTTAAATGGAGAAATTGTCTGAAACCTAATTATGATCCGGCAATAGTGTCAAAATTACATAATTAGAATAAATCTATTTAAGAAAACTGTACATTTTTACATTTCACATTTTATTACATTCAATTTGATTTAAAACATCAAAAATATATATTTTTTAACCCACTGAAAAAAAATTGTGCATTTTTGCATATCATTATGTTTTTTTGCGAGAATTCAATTTGCTTTTTCAGCTCTTTTTTCGACCATTTTCGTGCTTTTTAATCCGGACTTTGGATGTAACGTTTCAATACTACCTACTCCTTTAATACATTTGCAAACATTCAATGAAAGGAATTTTTATCATTCCTTTAACAATTATACAGGATATATTGTTTTAATTTAAGGGCAGCATTTTAAAACCTGCTATCTCTAAGCTATCGCTAAGTGTAGTTGTATTGAGTGTTGTGAGCTATTGTAGTCTATATGTTATTTGAGTCTCAGTTTTGGAAGTTCTTTAGCAATATTCGCAAAAGTGGCTAAAATCTTGACGTGTTCGCATCACTGTTAAACTTGAATTCGTTCTTGTTCGTTCACCATTGGATCGAGAAATCTATTTATTTTGATTAAACTGCATATTAAAACGTTTCAAATTTGGAATAGGGGCATCTTCAAGACATCGACAACATTTTTTGAGCTATTAAATGGCGGCATGGCTAAAATTCAAAAGCACATTCATTTATCAAAAATGTATTGGTTTAAAAAAAAAACACTGCTTTATTGAGTTGCGTTATTCCATATCATATTTACTGCTAGCTACTGTTTTGATCTATTTTACTTAGAAAATTGTCTATTTAAATCATAACTAGTATTGCAAAGAACCGACAACAAAGAACAATGCGTCATCTCACAAAGAATTGTATAAAGTTGAAAATAACACAATGTTCAGTTAGTGAAACAGCTATTTATTATTTAAAGGCTCTTTTGCAATAAAATTGTACAATTGTGACAGCCTTAATTACAAAATATACTTTCTTCAATTCTTGTTCTAAAGTTACTTTAGTACACATTTTTTTAAATCTCCTGTAGGTAATAGTAATAATAATGGATTAGTAATTGTAATAACGATGTAATTGGCGTTATATAAATCAGCGTGGAAAAAAAGTGTCAATAAAGAACTGAATGTTTAGAAGATTGCTTTAATGCATGCCACTGCATTTATTCCTCTTAACAACATACTTAATAGTTAATAGTATACCAAACTAAAATAATTGTTATTTTTTATACGGAATGTCCCTCAACTGAATACCCGACGTTTTATCACATATGTTTAGACCAAAAATGAGATTTTCTTGACATATGAGATGCTTTTACCAATTTCCACTCATTTTGGCACAACATTTATGTGTTCTAATGTAATCCGAGTCGTTTTTTAATAAGTGAAAAGATATAAAACTTTTGAGGTTGTTTCTTAAATCATTAGTCGTATTTTTTACTTCTTGTAGACTGTCATTATTTTTCTGTTTTAGCTGACTTATTTTGGAACTCTAATATCTATTGTGTCTTCATTCATTCATTTCTGGTGCTTAGTCAAACTATCAACTAGTATAACTCCTTAGATATCAACTAGACACACAAAAGTTTATTGTTGTGCTGCATACAAAATTTAAATTGTTTAAAAACATTAAACACTAATTTGGAATTTACAGTTACTAAAAAATCTGTGAAATTTAAAATTATTTATAAAATTCTTAATGCTAATGATGTGGTGGATTGATAATGTGAAAGAGTGTTCGAGAGTTGCAAACGGCACATTCTGTCTTCTTGCGATTCGCCCACATTCATAAAAAACATCTATAGATTCCAATAGACCATAGAACAGATTAAAATATTTTTTTCAAAACTGTTTTCCGACACTGCACGACTTTGAAGACTGTTGAACTACTTTTATTATACGAAGTGAAATTCGGAACACAAACACTCCTTATGATATTATATAAGCTTTTCAAGTCCTCTATTTCAAAACTTTCGAATAAATTATTAACTACCGAAGCTTCTCGTCTTTCGATTATTTTAAATCTGACTTTGCCAATTAGAGGTTTAGAAACGTAGTTTTATATAAATCACTGCAATTTCTATTTTCCAGAAATTAACTTTGTCGCAGTTTATTGATTATTTCAGAAACAGTGGTATGTGTTAAGAAATACTCCATACACTTTCATAGGTAAAATATAAAATATACATGAAAGGGTGATTTGTTCTTTTTCTGTCGATACTAGTCGGTTTTGGTACAAATTGCTTACACCATAAATAAATACAAATTTAACTTGTTATACCGATTCCTCAATTTATGAAGAAAAACTTTTGACAATATATTTAAATATGATAAACTTTACTCACATGTTTTGACCTGTGAAAAATTTTGTAACTTAACTGAAAAAATTTAATCAAGTTAAAATGTTATCTAAAGATAAAGCTTAAATACTCTTTTTTTAACACTTAACGTTTTCTTTTTGGAAAGTATGATTGTTATTTTTCCCATAAAGCAATCTACTTCACGAAGTGTTTCTTTTGGGAAAAGTTTTACGCTTCGCTACGAAATATTGCTA